TTAAGTCTCTAGTTCCCCTGGAAATTGCTTTTTCCTATGGATTGAGGTAAAGAGCCAATTTTATTTCTTCCCCTATGTCTTCTGACATCTATCAAGTTCTCATGTAACTGTAGATCTGTTTAGGACCTATTTTCTTTTCTGTTTCTCTATTGTATTGTGCCAATACCACACTCTCTTAATCATTACGGCTTTATAACAATAAATCTCAATGTTTGGTACAGCAAACTCCTCTACCTTGTTCTTCTTCTCCAGGAATGTCTTGGCTATTCTTGGCTCTTGAATTTTCCATGTATATTTTTAAATCGGCTGGTCAAACTCAATAAAATGTTTCAATTCAATTTTGTCTGGAATTTTATTAACTTGGAGATCAGCTGGGGAGAGTCAACCCTGTCTTTATAACATTGAATCTTATTATTCACGAACATGTCATAATCTTTTATTTGTATCTTTATGTTTTTCTTGCACGTCTTTTTAAAAATGTAGTTATCGGTAGAGAAACCATTCTGTCCACTGTTACTGATGAAGAAGTTGGTACTGAGAGCAATCAATGTGCTTCTCTTACATTCATTAAGCTACAAAGTGAATAGGACCCAACCCAGTTCCTAATCCACAGCATCTTTCTCCATTCCATTCTGCCTCATTTAATTTAAAACATGCAATTTGGACATATCATGGATCACATCTGCCAAGCACACTGGCTGGGCACAGTTATATCTAGATATGTTACACTTTGCATATTCCATGGGTACACTCCCCAATCTCCAGCCCCCTCGCAGTAAATGTTCTATTTTGTATGAGCAGATACCCGGGGGCATGAACAGCATGCTCATTTATGAAAGATAACATATGAGATTGGAAACCTCATTTCCTCTACCTCTCACCCTGCACGCTTGTTTGTGGGAAAGTCTTTAAATCATTTTCGAAACGGTTCTTTGTCTTTCTGTCAGCCTTGGAGTGGGAGAAAACAGACATATTTGTCAGCAAGAAGAGTGGTTCTTACACCAAGAATGGCTTGAATTTTTCAGCCAGTGTTTACAAAGTGAGCTTCTGTTCACACTAATCATGGCTAATGTCCCCTTGTTGATGAGCAATAATCCTGGCCTGCTGACACAGCTGGAGATCCTACTTACCTGCCAACTCCAGAGCGGCTTGGCTGTAGTGACAGATGGGAAATCAAGTGAGCTCCACTTATGAATAAGATATAAAGAGTATATGAACTTTTGAGAATACCAGCTGCCCTCATTCCAGAAGGTCACTGATGGTAATAAAATGTATAGACAACTACAAAATAAGTGTAATGGGAATATAAAACTGTATTAAACAATAAACACTGACTGTAGCCAGTCCCACCTTTGGGGAGGGGTAATGACATTCTGTCTATCAGTGGGAAACAAATCTCTAAATGGCTTTGTGCCATTTCAGAGACTGGAGGTTGGGGCAGCCCAAGAGTGCAGGGACATAGGGGACTCTGGAGAGAGACAGGAGCTCAGTAACAACGAGGAGAGGCCTGCTGAGAAACGGTGGTGGGTAGCTGGCAGTGTGGAAACCTTCTGTCACCCAAACCTCCAGTGGCATCTGCTCTATGCGCTCTTGGGAGTGGTGAACGCAAGGAAAATGTGGTGGGCTCAGGGCTCCTTGGGCTGGAAGTGGAGGGAACAGAGAGCTGTAGGAAGTGAGGGCGAGAGCTCAGAGGGGCAGAGAGGAACATGTCAGCCTCCTGGAACTGGTAGAAATCACAGGACAGGAGTTTAAACTAGTCTGATTTGAATCTGAATGTACAGGAATGCTTCACCTGCCCCGACAAAATTGGGCCCTGAACCTACCAGTCATGACTCAGCTTTTAGATGTCAAATATATCAAAACAAAAACTTCAGGAGATGAGAGTGGAATAGCTCTCTGAAGACAGAACACTGGAGGGAGTGCCATGGAGGGAAAGCCGCACTAAAGACCCTGTGTTTGAGTTTTTAATAATTTTTTTTTTAATTTTGAACTCTTCTTTCAGTCATTTACTACCTCTTTTTCTAAATGTTCTTCCTTCTGATAGGAAGTGCCCTGCACCTAGTTAGTCCACCAACAGCTTCCCCACACCAAAGGCCCCAGCCAGGGCACACTTGGAGCCTTGCATTTTTGTCCACCGTAAAGCCTTCCCACTCCTCTGTCTGCCAAAAGGCAAGTGATAGTAGCTGACTCTCTTGTTACAGCAAGCTCTGAATAAGCAGCCTTCCTCTGTTCTTACTCTGTTGGTCTTTGCTTTCTGCAGTCTTTCTCTCCCACCTCTCTGCCTGTTATGAACCAAATGTTTGTGTTTGTGTCTCCCCAGAATTCATGTTTCGAAGCCCTTGGCCCTAATATGATGATATTTGGAGTTGAGACCTTTGGGGTGTATTAGGGTTAGATGAGGTCATAGGGTAGAGTCTTCGTGATGTGACTAGTGGCCTTATGAAAAGAAACTTCAGAGCTTGGGCTCTCTCTTCCTGCTATGTGAGGACGCAGAGAGAAGGCATCTGTCTGCAAGCCAAGAAGAAAGCCTCATCGGGAAATGGACTAGCTGCCACCTTGATTTTGGATCTCTCAGCCTTCAGAACTGAAAAAATAAATTTCTTTTTTTTAAGCCATCCAGTCGATAGTATTTTATTATGGTAGCCTGAGCAGACTAAGACACTGCCTATCCCCTCTGCTCCCCTCCAACCAAAGCTCTGGACCTTCCTAAACCCTCTGGTCCCACCACACTTGACCTGTCTACCATCAAACCAGGTTCATGCACTCTGCTAAGTGACACCCACACAATCAGGTTATACTTGTATAAGGTATGCTATTCACTCCAGGCAACAAATGTACTCCTCTTGGGCTCTCCTAGGGATAATATCTAAATGAAACAGGACTGGCTCATTGATGTGAGTTTCAGGCATCATGGGAGGCTCAGCAAGGAGAGAACTGAAGGCAGGCAGAGACATCTATCGCATCTCTTATATCAGCCTCTGGTGCCTCCTCATTGCTTGTGGCACCTAGTCCTACCTGTGTATCAGAATATATCTCATCTTGGCAATTACCCATTCACTGAGCATGCAAGTTTTAAACTTGTAGAAGTTTAGAGATTCATAGTGTCAATAAATACATATATTACCAGTCCCAGTATGGGGCCTTAGAGGGTCTAAGCATGAAGTATACACAGAGATGTGCATCAAAAATGTACTTCTTTGTAGGGGCTGGGTTGATGATTAAAAAAATTGATATCTCACATATATACAGCTAGAATAATATTTGCTGTTTATCCAGGCTAAAGGGTCACTGGGCCATTGTTTCGTGTTATACAATTTATGTAATTACAGAAAATGTTAATATATGGTTAAATGGGAAAAAAAGAAAATAAAAATGACCTAAAATTTTATCACTCAGAGGTAATCACAATGACATTTAGTATTTGTCCTTCCTGACACTTTCCATCTGTCTGTCTAGCTAGCTATCATCTCCCTATACATGCACATATATTCTGCTATATATTATATATGCACATATTTAGAAAAGTGATACCATACTTTCATTTTCTTAACCTAATACAGTGTAGACATTGTTCTATAAGTAGAAATATACTCAACATAATAATTTTTACAGCTGTAGTATTTAATTGCATGGCTATATAATTATTATACTCAGTCCCTCATTGAAGGGCATTCAGATCTTTTTTAATTTCTCCTGATTATAAACAATGATTCTTATATTTTCTTTCCTTTCCCTTTCTCTCTCCCTCTCTTACTCCTAACACACAGGAGAGCACAGTAGAATTGAACTGAATTCAGTTGGAGACACCAAGACTTACACATTTCTACTCATTCTCCTGGGGAAATAGACACAGATTATCAGTGGCCAATAATATGTGAGAATCCTTTTGGCTTCCAGAGGGAGAAAACAAGCTCAGTCTCGGTCCAATAAAGGTATTAGCTCAAAGTCTGAAAAGAGGAGGACTTAGAGAGGATCTAGTCTATCCTCTTATTTTAATCTCTTGGAGCCCAGAGAGGTTACATGGCTATGCAAGGTAGCACAGCTTGTAGTAGCACATCTGGAACAGAAAGTAGCTCTTTTTATTCCAGACATGTGTGTTATAGCTTGTTGTCCTGTATGAGTGGAAGTGGGTGTATGTATATGTTTGTGAGTACGTGTGTGTGTTTGCTGTTTGTTTGAAATGCTCAGGGAAGGGGAAGGAAAAGAGCAATTTCTAGGTCAAATAAAAGAAAGGAGAGAATGGGTGCGTGGAGGTGTGTGCATTTGTGTATATTTCGGTGTATGTGAACCTTTGTTGTGTGCGTGTGTTGTGCAAGTGCAAAAGGAATGGGAGGGGCATGTACTTTGAGCAGAGCCAGTCTCCTGCAGAGCTATCTTGCTATAATAAACAGAAAGTTAGAAGCCCTTTCCTCTCCTTTCCAACACTTTGGTTTGCTGTGTTTTCTCCAGGTCGACCCCAGTCACCTCCTGCAGGTTTGCCTGGGAAGCAGGGCAGCAGCACTCCAGGTACTGAAAAGGAATTTGGAGGAGGGTTGTAGCAGGCAGTTGCAGGCTCAGTCTGTTTTGAACTGATGTGTTGGGGCAGCAGGGAAAGTAGGGACTGTGCCTTGACTGGCTTAGAGTCCAGGGTTGTTCTATGGACATATGGCAGTTTGACCAATCTGTAAGTTCAAGCCAAATACGAAAGCCTATCCTTGTGTTTGCTGAAAGTGTGATATCCTCCTCAGTCTCTCTGTTCAGATCCTGGCTCCAAGGCTGCTTCAAGGGACTCTCTGCTGGCTCTCCCAAAGTCCCCCCTTCCTTCTCCCAGTTCCCACGGAGGTCATGTAGGGAAGAGAGAGCCTGCCTGGGACAGATGTTAGTGGGTCTGGTCTGCAGGCTGGGTTCTGATAGAATCCTGCAGGCTCATATATCCAGGAAGCCCAGCTCACATTTGCTAGAGGAAAACCCCTGCAGGAACAAAATTAGCCACAAGTTTGCAATGCAGATCAGAGACTTACCTGAGCAGTTGGAAATCACTGTCTCATGGGCTTTGCTTTTAATCCAAATAGTTCGGATCACAATGCCATAGATGACGCTGCAGAAAGGACCAAAGGGAATATTAAAATAGCCGGTGGATCCCTACTGTGAGGACAGAGAGGACCACTCCCACTTGCCTGAGTGTGAGGGGTGGAGGGAGGGATCCCTTAACCACGCCTGCCCCCATACTTGTGGACTGTAGAATTATAGCCAACAAAAACTGAAAACCACCCTGCAGATCAGCTGGTTGGAGCAACTTCTGTCTCAAGTGAAAAAAAAAGGCTAGAACCTGGTGAAGTTAAGCAATTTCCTCAATGTAACCCAGATGGTTAGAGGCAGAGCCATGATTAGAATCCAAACACAGTCTTTGTAGTCAGAAAGACCTAGGTCTCTTCTACTACTTGCTTGCTGTAACGCCTTGACTTTAGACAGTCTCTAAAGTGGCGTCTGTGATCCTTGCCTCTGGTTTTCGAGCCTGTGTGTGATTCTCTCCCCTTGAGTGTGGGCAGAGCCAGTGACTTGCTTCTAATCAATGCAGTGTGGCAAAGGTGATGGGACGTGTGTGATTACATAGAATGTAGAGCCTGTCTTGCTAGCCTCGCTCTTCACTGCTGGCTTTGAAGAAGCAAGCTGCCACCAATCCGAATGCTACAGCCACAAGGAAATTAATTCTGCCAAGAACCTGAGGGAGATTGGAAAAGATTCTTTCCCAGTCCAGCCTCTGATGTCACCCTAACCCTGGGTAGCATCTCAAGGCTGCCTCGCCCAACCAGAGGACCCAGTGAAGCCATGTCTGGACTCTTGACCTACAGAAATTGTGAGATAATGAATGTGTGTTGTTTCAAGTCACTAAGTTCACGATAATTTGTTGTGTAGCAATAGGTACGCTGAGCTTCGGCTGAAATTTTGTAAAATGGAGTCAACAATATAAATCTCTCAAAGTTTTGTGACAATACTTAAAGTGCCAAGCACAGTGCTTAAAAAATTAGTGGAGACTTAAAAAATGTTATATCCTTTCCCCTCTTTTTTGCTCAGTTTTCACAGTATATCACATCAATTCTTGAATGATATAATCTGTGCCTAACAAAGTGTTAATGATCCAAAAGCATCAGCAAAGTTTGTACCCTATGTCCTCTTTGATAAATATAAAAATTTATACTCTTCTTAAACATTACTTGACATTTCGAATACAAGCACCTTGAATAAAAGCTTTTGGGATAAAGCAGTGCTTTATTTTAAACTGCGCAAACTTCCCTCTTGAGAATCATTAGTTAAAAAAAAAAATGAGAGCTCCACTTTGCAGTAGCTGACAAAGCACTAACTGTTTTTAATGATCTTTAGAATATAACTTAATTAATGACGGTGCTAAAGCTCTGCTTCTCACTGCCTTTTCCCATTCTCTCAGCGAACCCCTCTGAGCGCTCCAGGAAAGCTCGGGGCCTTTTTGGAGCATTTCCATTCTTTCTCATAGAACTGCCCAGGGACTTTTTTGAAATGTGTATGCCTGCAGTAAAGAAAAAATGAGAAAAAAGTTATTAGTGAGTTCAACCCTAAGTTGAATATTTTCTAGAACATGGAAAATTCTTTCCCAGAAAAATGAAATGGTATACAAGGTAAGGTTGCATCCACCAAGAAACGTATGATGACAATTGCAACCTCAGTATTTAATTGATCGATAATTGAAATATTTATTGACCATCCACCATATACACAATTGAAAAGTTAAGAGAGGTCTTTTGTTTTAGAGATTTGGGCCCATGTCACACCCTCTTTTTTTTTACTTAGGACCAATCAGATGAGTGAAAAGCCAGTCCCAGCTCTTCTCTTAGCTTGCCAAGCACCTAACGACCCGGGTGCCCCTAGCATTCATTGCCCAAACCAGGCTACTTTTTAGAGTGTAGCAGCCGTGGATCAGAGAGACCCCAGCATTACTATTTGTCTCCTTCTTTCTTCTTTCCTTCATCTAATTAATCAGTGAGTTCTGTGGGTTGTCCCTTCAAAATGATTCCATAATCTGTAACTTCCTCTCCATCCAGGCTCTTCAGCATGAGTTCAGACCCTTGCAATCTTTCTTTTTTCATTTTGATGACTCCTTTTAGTGTGGTGAAATATACATGAAATTTACCATATTAATCATTTTTAAGCGTACAGTTCTGTAACATTAAGTGCATCTACATTGTTACGCAACCTTCACCACCGTCTGTCTCCAGAACTTTTCCATCTTCCCCAGCTGAGACTGTCCCCATCAAACACAAAAAGACTGGAATGTTTAATGAATTTGTGTATCATCCTTGTGCAAGGGCCATGCTAATCTCTGCATCATTCCAATTTTAGTCATTCTGCTGCCAATACAAGCACCCCTTATAGCGTCTTGCCTAATTATTGTCATAATCTTCTAACACTCCCAGTCTGCTGCCGTCTCCAGTGCATGAGCTCCAGGACAGAGCACCATTTCCTGGCTTAACCACCGCCCCCGCCCTCAGCAGCCCCCCTTGCCCATAAGATGCTGTGCTTGGCCAAGTGGCCAAGCACAGGGAGAAGTGGGGGAACTGGACCTTTACTTGACAATGCCCCTTTTTTTCTTCTCCTAGCGAGGGCCTTAAACATAATTCCTGGCCTAAAGTGTCTCGCCCCTTCATTAATTAATTAATTTCATAATATTTATTGAAGCATTAACATTGTCCCAGGATCTGAGTGAACCATTGTGATTACTATGGTAGGCCAAACAGACAAGGTCCCAGCCCTTCAGAAGCTCACATTTTATTTAGGGAAAGACAATAATAAAATTAGGATGCAAGTAACATGTGAGTGCAAAGGAGCGAAGTGCTATAAAGACGCAATACAAGTGGTACAAGGGTATATAACAGGGGCCACGGCTTGTTCTGGAAGTCAGGAAGCCTTTCCAGAGGAGGTGAAGTTTCAGTCGAGATCCGAAGGGTAAATAGGTTTTCTAAATGCAGAGGGAGGTGATCATTCAGGCAGAGGGAACAGCATGTGCAAAGCCTCTGGGGCAGGAGAGAGTGTGGCACATTTGAAGGACTCAGAGTGGCTGAAGCCTGAAGAGCCAGGTGGCCTCTATGGCCTAAGATGAGGACACGGAGGAGCAAGGCAGGAACTAGATCATGCATGGCCTTGTGGGCTGGGTTAGAGGCTTTGCACTTGATCCTGGAACAATGAAAACTCACTTAGGGGCTTTAAGCAGGAAGGAGAAATGATTGACCCACTTTTTTTTGTTATTCAAAGATCAGGCACTGTTCAATATTAATAATTTGTTTTCATTTGTGTATAAAAAAGAAAAATTACGCATGTACATGCTGGTATATAAAGTGTGAACAGTCCTGGAAGAGCATTCAAGAGAATTTTACAGTGCTATTTCTGAGCAGTGGGACAAGGGGAGGAGAGGAAGGAAGATTTTAAATTTTCGTTTCATACTCTTTTGCATGCTTAGTAATTCTTTGCAAAAATGCTGGCTCTGGCTGTGACATGGACCAGGGATTTAAACAGGGTAGTTATGGACTCTAAAGCCTTCAGTACCTCAAATGAATTCACTATTTCTGGAAGCCGCAAGTGTGCATGGTGGGTATCAGTCAGGATGCTTTTGGTAGCAAGTTACAGAAAACTCCCAGCCCAAATTGGCTTAAGCAGTTAGAATAGTTCTTATCTCCCATAACTGCAACTTCAAAGGTAGGGCAGGGCCAAGACTAAACTTTAAATATCTGGGCTTCCTTCAATCCCTCCTTCTTTTCTTTTCAGAGTAGGTATCTTCCTAACTCAGGCTATAGCACTTCCAGGCAAAGCAATGTCCAGAAAAAGAGAAGACATTCTTTCCTGGACTTCTTTTTTGAGAACAGAGAAACCTTTTTCAAGATCTCTTCCTAAGACACTCCTTCATATCTTACTGGCCAGAACAGGATCACATGGCCCCTCCTGAGCTACTCGCATGCCATGGGGAGGGGCTGCCTTGAGTGTTTAAGAGAGGAAGTGGAATGCATGTTGGAAATTCAACCACAAACATCTACCAGAACTTAGCAATGTAGTGAGAAAGGTTTTTTCTGAAGACATACCTCTTGCCACCTCCCAGGTAACAATATATAGGATGTCACTTCCTTTCCTGATGTGATGAGTTGAATCAGGCCCTTGTCATCCTTCGCAGCCTTGGACCTCATGCCCATGGACAGAGCTGGCCAGGCCCCTGGGGCCCTTAGACCCAACATGGCTGTGCACCCCATCCCCAGGGTTGCGCACCCTGTCCCCAGGGCTGCACGCATCCAGCCTGGGGCTTTCCTACAGTGTGATCTCCATTTCCCAAGCAAAATAAATGGATTTTCCTCACATATCACAAATCAGTGCTCCATGACTAATGTGTTTTTTTCCACTCATTCTTTTGCAGTTGTCGGCCATGGATCTTTTCTGCCTCTACCTTCATGTTACAGAGATAAAAATGATAAGAGGATGAGAAATCAATTAGGCAGCAAGAAAATAAGCACAGCTAAAGTAAAGCAATTATACCAAGGCTAATAACCTCCTCAGCCACAATTAGACAGTTACATCAACTGAATTTTGAAACAACAGGAGTTGTTTTGCCCCAGAAAAACAATGTATTGCCTTTGCTGTCAGTCACTATGGTTTCAAGTCCTGGGAGCCTGATTTAGTTGATGACGGAACAACTACGTCTTTATTCATGCACAGCTTTCATGCGAGCTTGCCACAGACGGTACAACTCCTTCCTCTCTCCTTCCTTCCCTCCCTGCCTTTCTTCCTGCCCCCTTCTTTCCTTTCTCTCTTTTTTCTTTCCTCTCACATATATTTAGGGAGGAGCTACCATATGCCAAAAATTGATCTAGACGCTACATAGCCAGGCATTTATATATTAAGGGCATGTGTGCACGTGTGTGCGTGTGTAATAAGAGAGAGAGAGAAAGAAAGAGAGAGAGAGAGAGAGACAGAGACAGAGACAGAGGGACATGACTTATCTATTGTGTGATTGGTGCAGTTTATCAGCCAGGCCTGTATTGTTCACTCACTCTAACATTTACCAGGTGTCTACTGAGTGTTGGATTGGCACTTGGAGTCCCTGCACTCATGAGATACAGCCACACAAGCAGGCGATTACACTACCACAAAGTCTTGATGACAACATGGACAAAGTGATGTTAGTGGTTAGGGAGTGAAGCCTTGAGGTGTCACTTGGCCCAGGCTTGGCAAGGACAGCTCCACTGTGGAGCTGGTATTAGAAATGAGACACAAAAGATGTGAACTAATTTGCCAGACGCAAGGCAGGGTGAGCTTGGAGGAGTGTTCAGGCAGGAAGAATGATGTGCCCAGGGCACAGGGGTGAGAGGAGCGTAGGTGTTCTGGAAACAACGAATGGTTTGTTACGTGGCTGAGGCTATCGGTGCAAACAGGGGGTGACAGTGGCTCCCCTTGGAGTAGCCAAGGAGTCTTTAAAAAAGACAAGCTATCTTGTCCTAGCAGATATTAATGCATGCAAAGCTGAGATAAGTAAAACAGTGTAGTATTCATGGTAGAAGAGTCACTAATTTTTGGTTATTTGTGCTTTTTCTCCTTTTCTTAATTATGTCAATCACTAGTGAGTGAAAATAAAATAAAATCATCTTCAATGGGTAATTTAGGGAATGGCAAATTAGGGAAATATTTGCAACATATAAAAAAAGAAAAAGGCTATTGTACAAAGACTATCTCTGAAGACAGAGAACAGAGAAAATAAAAACATTCAAACAAAAAAAATGGGTAAAAAAGTATAAGTATTTAAAAAACAATTACACACATACAAAATGTATTTGACCTCATTTGTAATGAAGGAAATGCAAATAAAAGCAAGGATATGGGTTTATTTTTTGGTAAATATATACACATGTGTATAGCATGCATGAGAAACAATGAGGCGCGGTGCACAAAGCGAGCGAACATCTTCTTTGAGCTGTTTCCTTTGTCTACCTAAGCTTGGCGTGAGGACTTTAACCTTATCCCAAAGGCGCACATGCCATAGAATCAAGCCCGGTGGCTAGAGTATGAGAAAGAGAGGAAGGAAGAGAGGGAGGCTGGGAAGGAGGAAGGAAGGAGGGAAGGAAAAGAGCTAAATCTTAGCTCTGAGGGAGATGATACTGTAGCAATGCAACCAGGAACTAATTGGAAAACAAGTTCCTCACGAAATTCCCCAGGGCCTGGCCTTGGTTTGGGAAGGGAGCTGCTGCTGCAGGAGCTGGGCGGTGGTCTGCCCCCCAGAGAAGTTCTTTCTTCATTAGCAGGAGCCGCGCTCCCTGCCCACGGAAGAGAGAAGGGAAAGGTTGAGCCCAGTCTCGCCCTGCTGGAAACACTTCCCAGCAGCTCAAGACAACAGAGGTTGCAGCTGAGTTTCGGGGGTTCCGCCACAGCCAGAAGCAAGGAGCAAGGAGCGGGCCTCGCAGGGGCCCGAGTTCGATGAGAGCTGAGCGAAATCTGCTGTTGAAATCATTTCTTTCATCAGCAAACACATGAGGTTTTGCCTTTTCATGGACACTAAAAAAGCACGCACACGTTAGCCCGTAGGCAAATTTGCGGAGAAGTCCTGGTGGAAACAGCAGCCTGAATGAATGGCGGAGTTTCAGACACAGGCCGTCCTAAACCGTGTGGCTCTGCTCTGCGGAGCGCGGCTTTGACTGGAGCCGATTCTTGAGCTGCTGGGAAATGAATCGGGAGGGACGCCATGAGGCGCTGCCACTGAGACCGACCCCTCCGTTGCCTGGGATGGCCGGAGCCGCTTCCTTCTCCTCTGCCTTGTCCCCCTTCCAACGCTGCTGTGACTTACCTTTGATCGGTTGCCTAAATAACCTTCTTCTCCCTCAAGCTTCCCTCCAAGCTTCACTTGGTGTAGAGGAGGGAAGTAAATTGGAATAAAATGTAGGTGTTAATTCGTCCATCCGGCAGAGATGACTGGCTGCTGGTCTGGCTATTGGGGTCACTGCGTTCCCGCCCAGCTCAGCCTCTGAAGGGGAGGAAGTCATGGAGCTTCTTTGAGCCCTAAGTCTACTCTTGTGAAAGATTCAGAGGTTGGACCACATGATGGGTAACATTTCTCCCAGCTTTAGTATTTTATGAGACTATAGATGGGCAATGAGCAGAAAAGGTGACTCCCGTAATGTCAGACAGCACTAGAAAAACACTCAACCAGCTTAATCATCAGAGAAATGCTCATTAAAACAAAGAGATGCTTTTTTTTTTAACCTCTCAGGTTGGGAAAGATTTAATAAAGAAATGATACTACCTTTCATTGGATGGGGGAGGAAAAAAGAGCCCTTGTGTGGTGTTAGCTAGAATTTACCTTTTCCAGAGGGCAGGTTGTGAATATGCATCAAAATTCTTAAAATGAGCCTCATCTTTGTTCTAGCAATTCCATCAGAATAAGTTATGAGGAAATAATCAGAGAGAGATTCATGTGCAATTTGAAGTACAAGGATTTTTTATCACAGCACTATTTATATAATAAAAAACCAACAGCTGAACTTCCTTTGCCCATGACATATGCCACACCACGGCAGGCTTGAGAGCACTCAAAACACGCAGGATCAGCGTGGCCCAGGGACACACTCAACATGTCAGGTCTCTCCCCACAGTCTCCCACCCCACGCACACACACAGAGCCCCTGTCCCAGAGGGCAACCCTGCCACATGGCCAAGTGAGACCTGCCTTGCCCAGGTGGCCCTGTTCATCTCTGCTGAAAGACCATCTGTGCCTCACCACTGGCTGCAGGACCCAGGGGACATCCTGTGGCTTGGCTGCCAAGGCCCTTTATAAGTGAGCCTCCCCTCGCCACTGGAAGCAGCTCACTGCCAGCTTCCGTCCCATTGGCACTGCTGACCTATCCACTCCCTGCCCCCACACTCACTCCAACCTCTGGTCATCACAAAACTTGCTTCCTCCTCACCTTTTCTTATCCTACATGAATCCTTCCCTTCTCCCATGGTAGCTTCCAGGAAGTGATCCTTGCCATTACCTGACTCTACTGTACGCACAGTCTAGCATATTAGTGAATACTGAATTTTCTGGTAAGTTTGTTTCAAGTATGTCTATCTCTTCATTTATAAGATCCCCGAAACTGGTATTTTGCCTTGTATTTGAAAGGCTGAATGGTATAGGAGAAAGAACAGGGTATGAAATCAGACCAACCTGGATTTCAATCGTAAGTGATGTTGGGTAAATTACTTAACCTCTCCAAGTTTGCACTTCGTTATTCATAAAATGGGGACAACAGTATTTATTTCACAGGGCTGTACTGAGGCTAATGGGATAACTGTTAGCTACCTTAGCATGATGCTGCCCCTATAGCACATACTCAGTACGTGTTAGTTCCCTCCTCCTTACTCTATTTGGAAGGAGTTGGGCTTAGCTCATTGTAGCTTTAGCTAAAATCTTGTGGCCTGGCGAGTTCCCCCAAGGGCACTAGGAACAATGAGTGACCTGTAGGGGAGGAGAGCAGCCACTGGCTAAGCAGGAAAGCCCCGCATGGGTCTTTCCTGTGGCCTGTGGCCTCTTACCTGATGATTGTCAGAGGGATGAAGTACACCAGGAATGCCACGATGGTCATGTACGGGATCCAGTAGGAGTCATCAGGCCACAGGGCCCAGCACTGCACTTCGCCATTGGAGAGTGTCCTTTTCCCAAATATGATCAGAGTGGGAATGGAGAACAGGAAAGCCAGGATCCAGGCAATCATGATGAGCACTTTGGCTTGCTTTTCTGCTCAGAGAAAAGAAAGGGATGCCTGGGTATGTGGAAACATCTTTTGGGAGCACAGTGGAGTCTAGTGTAGAGAATGATCACAGTGGGAGAGCCTCCCTGGACCTCTCAGAGCCTTCCAGAGCCCAGATTCCTCGTGTGTAAATAGGGATGTCGGTACCTGCATATGGGGCTGATGTAACGTATAGGGATGATATAAAGATGATAAAAAGAAGCTTGAACAGAAGCCAGCACACTGCCTGGCGTAAAGTTGGGGCTCCCCAATTTCTACTCCACTTCCTCTTCCCTGATATGCCCACCTGACTGGAGATGTTGATGCATCCATTCCTACAGTGTTAGGGAGCTCAGTTTGTACCAGATGCATTTGATAAGTTGCTGTGCAAATGCTGAGTTGTATCCACCACCATGTGGCCCATCTCTCTGGGTACAAGGCAGGGATACCACTTTGGGTCCATCTGGCATCCTTTCATTGTACCCAGCACTGTGAACCACTGGGACAGTCTTGGAGAGCTATTTGCCAAACGGGAAGGAGGCATCTTTTCTTTGTAGGAACATGGGTGGAATTGTGGGGCAGAGAAAGAACACTGAACTTGGTTCTGGAGAGTAGGGCTTATTTTGGCCAAGCCCTGAAGCCTGGTAGGACTCTACTTACTGGATTTAGGCTCTTTCAGCTGTGCTATTCTGACCTTGGCTAAACCACTTAGTCTCAGCTTCAGCTTTTCTCCTTTAAAATGGGATCAAAAATACCTACTCTGGTCACCTCAGCAGGTCATGGGGCTGGACCTGAGAGAGACAATTAATGTATGTGAAAGTACTTTTAAAAAACACCAGCTGTTATGGAGTGATCCTTTCTGTTAAGCTGGTGTTGAAGCTCTTCATCCTGATCCCTTGTCTAGCCACGCTATCTGTACAGATCTGGTGCTGGGGGCCTCCTCCTTTCAGAGACAGGACACTACACTGGCTCCTCAATTTTCCAATTGGAAAGCAGATGTGTATCTTTGGGTGGGGCTGGAATGTCGAGTCAGGTGATTTCCTAGAATGGTGTGTAGGCTGTGGTCAAGGAGCTATAAGAACTAAGAAAAATTCTAGAAGAAATTAGGGATACTATTAAAATTTTGAATCCTAAATATTTGAGAGAATAATATCTAGAATACTCTTCTTGCTAAGTTATACACACTGGAAAGAGACATTAGACGCATTTAGGAAAAAGTCGTTACTGGCCCACTGCACAAGCAGAAATCTTGGGATAGAATTGTAACAAGTTGACTAGGTCTTTTCCTTGTCCCTTTACACATGTCCAGTCATCCAATGGGGATGGTGGTTCTCCTGCTCTGGTTTGAAAACTCAGGCCAGCCCCTTGATGGCAGTGATAACTCATAGGTGATTTAAAAGTCCGACAGTCACTTTAAGTGGTAAGCATTGCACCAATTTAGTAATTAACATAAAAATTGGTAAAATGCTAGATAACAATCAAAACTCAAAATTCCCAAGATGATTTCAAGTTAAATCGTTTCTCCCCAGGTGTGCCTGCTTCAGGTAAGAACCTGGAGTCCAGGAAGGGAGATCAGCCCTCCTGTTCTCTATTTTTATCTGGTCTTCCTACCCCGTCCCCAGGTTGCTGACCACTTTGGGGCCTCTCTGGACTTGGGGTGCAGGGGACAAGGAGAAGACAGGGGACAGGAGAGTTCTTCCTTCACTGATACTGTCATAAGATGGCTTTGTGCTCTCTGTGCCTGGCTGCTGTCTAAAGCTGATTCTTGGTCTTCTGAAGAACTTTCCTGGGTTCTTTGGAAACTCTCCTGTGGGGTCTCTGGATTACCACTTTCTTGACTTGGGCAGTGCCATTCCATTCCTTCCTGGTCACCTCCACCTTCTTTCTCCTGAGGCTTCTTTGGCAGAAATGTCCAGGGCAGAATCTTTTTTTAACACAGTCCCACGCAAACTTCTCAAAGCAGGTTCTACATCAGCCCCCTGGGCTAGGACCACAGGGCATCAGCCAGCCTCTCTTTAGCTTTCCCAGGTGTGAGCTAGTCATTGGTCCACAGTGCCCCCAAATACAGGGACCACGTCAAGTTCCATGAGTCATCTTTTGCAGCCCCTCTCACTAGACTTAAGGAGAGCAAGAATCTGAGGGATCATGTTGTTGGATGGTTTGTCTACACAGACATCAAAGTCACCCAGGATGAGGACAGCATGACGGGTAAGAGAGAGGTTGAGAATAGTGTCAACATCATCACTGGATGCAGGCCGTGTCCATAGGTACACAGACACAGGGGAGGCCTTGGAGAAGGTGGTCTAGACTGACAGCATGCGCACCAAGGGAGCAGAGTGGGCACACATATACAACAATGGAGGAGACATGGTCCAGACATGGTCCAGAAAGGTAGGAAAATGCATCCACCATCACCAGGACATGAGGTATCCAAGAAGGAAGGCTGAGGAGCAACGTCGTGAGAGATCTTAGGGGCATCGGGCATCTCAGGAGGCGAGAGGTGGAGGGAACCTCCCTTGAAGAGGTTGGTGGCCCAGAGGAGTTGGTTCCTGAAGGGATGAAAAAAGCTGTGGGGTGGAGGGGAGCAGTGAGAGTTTGGATCAGGAAAGAAGCGGGATGGGATTACGAGAGCAGGTAACGTGGCTGGAGGGCTTTGCTTCTTGATCGCAGGGTTGTGAAGCCCGATGTGTTTCTGTGGACTTGGCGACATTAGTAACTGCCTTTGTGCTGTCTTTCACGGTTAGAATTCGAATGTCATCTCCTTCTTTAGGTCCCGGGGCCTGGACTTTAAAGGGAAACTTGTGACTCCTGGGCTCCATCCAGGTTCTACTCAATGGCTTATCAGTGCATTCACTTTTAAGAGGGATGGACATGGAAGCAATTGGATTAAAAGAATAGAAAATTATGCTTTAGAATGAACTCTACCAAGGTACTTGAAAATGTTTCCTCCAAGTCCCAGCAGGGTACAAGCTTGGAGTTGTTTTTCTCATACTGGTGCTGGGATGTCTAGGGAAAGCCCCACTGTCTTAGGCTCTTACGTGGCCACCACAGCAGGAAGACTGCTGGCCTTCCAGCTGGCCCACTGCCATGCGGAGTGACCAGCTGCTCAGGACTGAAGGATCCAGGATGAAAGAGATGAAATGCAGGTCTGAGTGCTAGTTGGGCTGTCTCCTATGTCTCTCACCCACAGAAAGCCAGACTCCCTCTCCCATCTGTTCTTGTCCAATTCTGTACTTCTCTACCTCAGCCTTCCTCCTTTCCATGCAACACATAATCTTTAAAAAAAAATCATATAAGTTACACATGATGGTTACGGAAATGCTAGCAAATAAAAATAAGCAAGAAGAAAAGAATCCATAATGCCATCACTCAGAAGCAGCCAGTTTAAATTTTTATAATGCATTTTTATATAATATATAGATTGCACATTCAAAAACAAGATCGTAATATATATGCTGCCTTGTAACCTCATATTTTTCTTTGAAAAAAATGTTAAGAAATCTGCATCTGTACAGTGGCATCAAGACTTTTTTCAGGTAGTAAGACCCATTCCTCAAATATAATTTTATCTTGAGCCCAGAAACATGCAGAAAGCTGGGGGAGCTCAGGTGGAAGCTGGGTGACAGCCAGCACGGCCCAGACCCACCCTAGAACAGTCCAACAAATGAGCCCCCTGGGGGCCAGTGTGTGAAGTGCAATTTGAAAAGTACTGATAACATTTTTTCCCGCAGTTACACTAAACTTCAGTTTTATCAGTGGCATATCATTATAAATTTAGGTTGTTTCTAAAAATTTTTATTATAAATAATTTCTATGTATCTCTTTGCCCAGCTCTTGTTATTTCAAATCTGTTTCCGAGAGTTAGAATGAACTCTCGGAAACAGATTTGTAAGTTTTTGGCTGATATAAAGTGTCTACAATTTACAGCTCTCACTGTTAGTGTCTAGAAGTACCTATTTCTTTACACTTTCCCAACACTGAGAGGATTCTTCCTTTTAATTTTATTGTCTGGTTGGTAAAATTTCAGATTCAAATGTTTAATCTTGCAATTCTTTAGTAGTCGAAATGAGCATTTCCGTATATCTTCTATTCATTTGTATTTCTTTGATTCTTAACAGTTTGTACACTTCCTTTGCCCATTTTCTCCGTTGATATGTTCTTATTTCTTTTCCAGATTTCCTTATAAGAAGGATATTGCTCTTTGCCTGTTATATACAAATACTTTTCCATTTGTAATTTTGCTTTTTAAGTTTGTCCATGAATGTTCATTATTTGTATAAATAATTCAAAATTTTTGATGTAGTAAAAGCTGTATTTCCCGGATTATTTCTGCCTTTGGTGTGATTTCTAGAAAGGCCCCTCCCTCACCAAGATTATGAAAGTGTAACCCAAATGTTTTTTTAAACTTTTTATATTTAAAATGTTCACTTTTTCAATCCAACTGGAATTTACTTTGTAATTAACTATGACATGTGGTGATCTAATATTTTTTAAATGACTAATCAGATATTCCAACACCATACATTGACTAATTCATTTTTTTCCCGACTGATAGAAATTTTACATGGCTTATATATGTTATTCTGGTTCCAATATCATATTGTTCTCATTGTCAAAGTCTTATGTTTTAGTATCTGACACTACATTTTCCTCTTATCAGTATTTTCCTAATTCTTCTCATATTTATTTTTCCTAAAGAGCCTTAAAATTGTCAACTTCTCTGGAGTTGTTGCCTAAGGCAACTACCACTTTAGTGAAAAGCAGTAAAAAATAAACTTTGGCCTTTCCTTTTTCTCCCCTGCCCTTGCTTAGCTGCCATTGCCATGTACCTGTCCAACTCATGTGACTCCCTTGGGCCTCTTCCTGCTCCAAGACTCTCCACGGCGAGCCCTGCCATTCTGGGCGAAATCTCTTTCTTGTGCCTTCTCTCCGTAAGCAGCATAAACCCCAACCCTGCCCCTCACAGATGCTCTTAAACTCCAATGAGCTGAGCACCAAAATGACTCCGGTGTAGGTCATGCCCCTGTCCTCACCCGCTGCCCTCACCCGATAAACTGTGAGGATCTTTTCAATCTCTACAAGGCCGTGTAGCTTTCCCAGGGGCTGAGTTATAAATTGACACTTGGCTTCTGTGTTTAATCTGCTCACTTGCGTGCTGGGAATTCCTTGAAGTTTCTGGTACGTGGATGGCTTCTTTCCTTGGCTCCCGTTTGAGCTACAGGTCTTCCTTGTTTTTTACACTTCTTCAATGACATTAGTTGGGACTGGGCAGAGGGAAATGGCTAATATCTGTTTCCAAACTTTCATCTTTCCCAGAAGCTATTGAAGATGATTATTTTCTAAGTGCCCTACATTGAGCCTCTATTAATTTTGTAGTGAGGAATAATTTGTTTTACATCTTTGAAAGAGAACTGTAATATTCATTGCTGCCTTTCCTGTAATTTAGGACAATGTTCATAATATTACAGAGTGTCTTCCAAAATTGGTCATATTTTCTGTGAACAGTTGATTTTTTGCCTAATGAATGTGGTGAAACATGTAACTGACCATGTTACCCACTTAACTACAGGTCATAAGCCTCCACCTCTGGTAAGTGTCCTGGGACTCCCCTCGTGCAATTCTTAGACTTATTTTCCCTTCACTTTGATTTCTTCACCTTAAAATACTCTGGTGCAGGTGTCTTTTTCTCCACCACATTCGATCCTTTCTGAGCCTGCCTGGCATAAACAAATAGATGGATGAATAAGTGTATTGCAACTTGGCATACTTACTCATGGAATGTCTCCCCCATTTCCCTGCCCCATCCCGTTCCCTGCCTCCTCCGCGACCTTAACAACCAGGGCTTGACAGTGCCCAGAAAACTTGGTGCAAGTCTCACACCTTCTCAAAACAGACAAACCACATAACTGAGAAAAATCCCAAGAAACAGGTGTAAATTCTACTTAAAAAATAATTTCTAAACCACTTTGCTGAGGTATGATAGGCCTACAAAAAGTTGCAGAAATTTACATATATGACTTGATGCCTTTGGACATAGGTATACACCCATAAAACCATCATCACAGTCAATGCCATAAACTTGCCCATCACCTCCCAAAGCTTCCTCCTGTCCCCTTTGTTTTGTCTTGTTTTACATGTTTTTTACTTTTGTGGTAAGAGCAGTTAACATAAGATCTACCATCTTAGCAAATTTTTAAGCATACAACACAGTATTGTTAATCATATGCACTATGTTGTACAGCACATTTCCAGAACTTATTTATTTTGCATGACTATAATAAATTAATTTTCATTGTACACAACACATTGATATGTTTTTTGTATAAAAATTGCCATTTTGCATATATTAATAAATTCCTGTGGTCATTCCTAGTAGCTAGTCCAACTCCCATCCCCAGATGTGAGGACTAATGTCAAGTTGGTGTATGTCCTTGCAGACAGTTGTCAATTATTCCTAGAGCTCTCTTTCATGTTCTTTCCTTGTGCTCTTCTCTCTCTCTGTACATGGTATCTTGAATTGTTTTCAGTTTTTGACATTATATTACTGTTATCATACTGCATGGATTTTTGTTGTTTTATCCCACTCAACATGTGATGTGGATATGTTCTTGTGGATGCGTATTACTGCCCATGGCTCTACCACCTCTGCATTGAGAGGCAGAATATATAGTAGGTAAAAGCACCCAAGCTAGACCCAGACTGTCTGGGTTCAAATCCTGCCCCTGTACTTACTAGCTGTGTGAATTTGGGCAAATTATTTTAACTCTCTGAATAGCAGCTGCTTAAAGTGTAAAATGCAGATAATAACAGAATATACCTCACAGAGCTGTAATGAAGATTAAAGTAACTAAATTATGTAAAGACCTTAGAATCATGAATGGTACCTAGTATGCAATCAATAAACCTGAACTACTGACACTTCTACTACGGGATAGTTAGCCATTCCTCCACTGAGAGACATCCAGGTTAGCATTAAATTCCTGCTATTCTAAGCAATACTACAATATACAACACATATGTATACCTGTACATATGTGAATGTTTCTCCAGAGTAGATACCAAGAAATCGTGTCAAAAGGCTGCACATGTTATATTTTAATGAGACGTTGACTTGCCATTCAAAATATCTGTTCCAATTTATACCCCTGTCAATAGTAAATATTACTGTATCTCCCCACCTTCTTGCAGGTCATTGATGACATTAATTATATTTATGCTAAATTTTTGCTTCCTCTATTAAATTTGCTTTTTTAGGTGCAAATTCTGTGGAGCGATATTTCGAAGGTATAATCTGTTTTCCAGTTTGGATTTTGTCACATTTCTTATGACATTTGATTGCATCTCATCTTTGTAGCCAAGATTGCCTGTTAGGTTCTTTATTTTATCAGATTTCACGGTGGCTTGAGGAATGGTAGTAGAGGTCCCTAAACACTGGCTTTTTATTTACTTTCAGGGTGCAGGGAGGAGAGTGTGCTCCACCTGTGGGTGGAGCAATGGCCGCTAGTCTTGCGAGTAGGAACAAATCATGCTTCTAGGGCACAATGATTTCCAGGACCCCACTCTGTCTCTTGAAATCCAGCATTCCTACTAAGATCCCTCCTTGGGAGCAGAGACCTCCTGTCTGGGATGGGGTGGGTGGTAGGAAGGGAGACATGCTGTGATTAACCCCGTGTTGTGCTTCATAACAATCCCTATCGGTTGTCTATGTCTTCTCCTGCTCTGGCCATTTATGTAGTCTGTTCAGGAAGTGCTCTTAACATTTCTCCTGAATCACTGAGGCATCACTTGGCGGTATCACGGGCTTTGCGGTTTCAGCAAAGTGGATCCAGATATTCTCCTTCCTTAAGGATTCTAAGCCATCTGTAGGAATGATCAGTCAGTATTCTCCTAGGCGCTCATGACTGGGTCTCTCTCTCTCTCTCTCTCTCATTCTCTGCCTTTCCTTTTGATAGAGTCTTGCTCTATCACCCAGGCTGGAGTTCAGTGGCATGATCATAGCTCACTGCAGCCCCAAACTCCCCAGCTCAAGCGATCCCCCTGTCTCAGCCTCCCTAGTAGCTAAGGCTTCAGACTACCCCTAGCTATTTTTTTTTTTAATTTTTTTTTTTGTAGAGACAGGAGTTTCTCTATTTTGCTCAGGCTGGTCTTGAACTCCTGGCCTCAAACAATCCTCCTGCTTTGGCCTCCCAGAATGCTGGGATTATAAGCATGAGCTATCACGCCCTGCCCCTGCAAGCTTTCTGTTCTACACCTTTTTGGACAATCACACCCATTAGTGGGGAAGGAGGTGAAGAAAGAGAACAGAGGAAAGGAGGAAGAGAAGAAAGGGGGAGGAAGAGAATTATTACTAGGAGTAAAATATTAATGAAACAGTAAAAACAATCCCACCCTTGCCCACGGCCGGCTCACCTCCTTGTAGGAACTTCATGGGGTAGACAATGGCATGGTATCTGTCTATGCTGAGGGAGACCAGGACATAGGTAGAGGCATAGAGCAGCACGACCTAAAGATAGAAGTGAGAGGAGGTATGTGGCTTCGTAGCGATGAAGGAATGCACAGAATGGAAAGAATTACTTTTCGTGCCATTTAGAAACCTGGGAATCGAAACAAGATAGGGATGAGAGTTGAGGTGGGGAGGAAAATAACTGACTCTCCGTGCAGGAAGCAGATCTTGTTACTTGGTGCTGGAATTTGCATTGCTAGCCATGATGGGTGAGAATTTTTCCAGCTCTTTCTTGATTACTCATTCACTTGGCTTCTTGGAAACGCCATATTTCAGGATCAGTCCTTCTTGACATTTGCATGGTACATTTATTTGTAATTAACTTTTAAAGCTAAACTAATTTTCTCTGCCACAATTGACGTTCCAGAATAATTAGAAGCAAAAGTTCATTTGTCTTTTATCAGTGCGAGTTACTGAGAGATGACAGAATGGTTCTGGTTTCAGGGAGCTCATGTGCTGTCTAGGAGCATTTGTCATTGTCAGGGCTGACACCATCAGAGGGCTCCCCCTCTCCTGCCACTTCACTAGGATCCGGCCCTGCATCTCCTCTTTCTCCTTCCCATTCTCTCTTTTAATAAATCTACTCACACCCTTTAATTATCTTGAGTATAGTACTATTTGCATATTTAGCAGAAAAGGAAATTGGGATGTAAGAAGTTAATATCTCTCATAAGAGGGGCATGTTTATAGTGTAACTAAATGAAATATCTCTGAAAGGATGCTCAAGGTGAAAAATTTCCAGGTAACTTGGAGCCTCATTTCTACCAAGAGTCCAGCTATGTCTCTGCTTTGTAACCCTCAGGATCAAATCCAGAGGGAGTAGAAGAGTAACTGAAATCTAAAGGTGAGTGTCTGACTTTCTCCTTGGCAATCACCTTCGTTCTGAATTTGTACCTTTTTGTTCCTTCCTTGGTTTAGACAAATAACAGCCCACTATTGTTTGGTCTAATGGCCAACATTGTTGTCATTCTTCATTATTTTTTATTTCTATAGCATTACCCTAAAGGCGTCTCAGCACTAAGTGTTGGAGAAGGTGCTATAGGGAGGGGGTGCTGAGGAATGATGAGAGATTGAAGGCTCTTCTGGGGGATATAAGAAGAAATTCTCCTCTTGCAAAAAAAGGTGATAGATGGAGAAAGAGAAAAATGGATGGCTAAGTTTAAGAAAAAACAATCAGGCAATTGTCTCTCTAGAGAAAACTGGGGTTTCCATGTGTCATCCATGAATTTGGAATTATTAAGGTTGGCTACACACAGTAGAGGAGCTGGCATCAGAGAAGGATAGGAAAGAGCGCTCCCAATGGCAGAGCCCTTTGGGGTGCAAGGTCATGGTGAGAAGGTCGTCAGCATCTGGGACGTCTGCAGCTGTCATGAGAGACCGGCTGACATGGTTCAGAATCTGGAGCAGGAGGAAGAGTCACAAAATGTGGTGTCCAGAGGAGCAGGCAACACTGATAAAAAGAAATTGACTTTGAGACACAATCAAAAAGAGTATTTAATTTCAGAGATTAAACATCTTTAAACATCTAGGCAGGGTAGAAAATTTAAAGGTTACCTAAAAGAAATGCATCTCAAATTATCACTCCTCTTCTTCACAAAAATAAATGCCAGAAAACAGTATAAAAACATGTTCGAAGTTTTCAAAGAAAAATTGTGATCCAAGAACTTTGTAAATATCATTTCTGTGCCAAGGCATAGAACAATTTTCTTAGAAATATAAAAGGAAGAAAATTTAACATTGTATACTCTTCTTGAAGATCTTCTGTGAGGAAGTACTCAGCTGATTGAGAATTGTTTCAAAATTAAGAACTCAAGAAGAAAAAAGGAGATAGAATAATAACAACTGTGATAAGCAATGAAGTTAGACAAACAGAAAGTGTTTACAAAATCATTATAAATATAGTTAGAGAACATTTCAGAAAAGAAATATAAGGAGTTGAGTAAGGAGAGACAGTAAAAAAAGGAAACAAGTTATGTAAAATTTCCATTCAGATATTTTAGATATCTCTTTTGTTTTTTACTTTGATAGAGATACATTAAATCTAAAATTAAAGCAAAGCTATGCTATAATAAAATTAAAATTAAGAAAATTAGTGTATTAGTTTCCTATGGCTACTATAAAAAATTACCACACACTTAGTGGCTTAAAACAACATAAATTTATTCTCTTACAGCTCTGGAGGCCAGAAGTCCAAAATCAGTTCTGCTGGGCCAAACTCAGGGTGTTATCAGGGCCAAGGCCCCTCCAGAGACTCTAGAGGAGAATCCATCCCTTGCCTCTTCCAGCTTCAAGTGGCTGTCAGCATTCCTTGGCTTGTGGCTGCATCAGCCCAGTCTTTGCCTCTGTGGTTATAATGCTTCTCCTCTTCTCTCTGCGTGTCAAATCTCCTCCTGCCTCCCTCTTGTGATTGTATTTAGAACTCACTGGGATAAACCAGGCTAATCTCCCCATTTCAAGATCCTAACTTAATCACATCTACAAAGTTCATTTTTGCCATGTAAGTTAACATATAAAAGTTCCAGGGATCAGGATGTGGCTAATTTGGTGGGCCCTTTTTTCAAGCTACAATTAATAACCAAGTAAAAAAAAAAAAAAACCCAAATAAGCAAGACAACCTTAACATAGAAAGATTAAAATGAAGTGGCTGGAATATTAATAATACCAAATACGATATGTCACATATAAATATGAATGGTTTAAGCTCCTTTGCTAAAACAAAGACTATTTTTAAAAAAACCTTCCCTAAAATTCAACTCCATACTGTTTAGAAGAGAAACTTCCAAAATGAAATGATACCTAAGTTTAGAAGTACAGGGATGGTCAAAGGTAGTCAAGCAAATAAAAACTAAAAGTAGACATTCATGACAATACTGCTATTAGACAAGTTAAATTTGAGACAAATAACATGTGATAAAGGATTATTTACATTGATAAAAGATACAATACAGATTGGCAATAGAATATTCATAAACTTATATGTAATAAGTAATATAACAATATATATAATAAAATTGTTCAAAATCTTACAGAGGAAAAAACACAAAAAATTATAGATAAAAAAAATTAAACTTTGTATGTAAGAATGATATACATCGCTATAAAATACCTAGGCAATGTTTCAAAAATTGGTCCTATTCTGAACTACTAAGGGAAAAAACCCCTTAAGCCCTCAATATTTCCAAAAAGTAGGATTTGTGCAATTTGCATATTTAAAACAATGAGCAATGAAGCTGAAATTAGTAACATTTTTTTAAAAAAATTACCACTTGGAATTTAAACACCCTCATAATTAACTTGAGTCAAGAAGGAAATCAAAGTACAATTATAGTCAATTCATAAATGTCAACAATGAAAACTCTACACATCAACAACATATGGGATACCATTCGGAGAACAGATGGCAGCTTGAGGACATATGTCTGAATTCTCACTACCCCACCCCTTAATTCTGACAGAAATGACCTAGGAAATAAAAAACTCAAGAAAATCTTGCACAGAGAAGTGAGATTCAAATGCTAGAAACAGAGAAATTTTACTTAGAAAAATGCCAGATTGTATTCATATATAAAGGAAGATCCATGGGCAGACACTAAAAAAAATAGACTTTATTTTTCAGAACCATTTTATGTTTACAAAAAAAATTGCTGGTATTACAGTGAGTTTCCATATTACCCCTCTCCCACTCATATAATTTCTTCTATTATTAACATCTTGCATTAGTGTGGTACATTTGTTAAAATTGATGGATAAATGCTGGCACATTATTATGAACTAAAATCCATTGTTTACATTAAGGTTCACCCTTTGTGTTGCACAGTTTTATGGGTTTTGACAATTGCATAATGTCATGTACCCATCAGTACAAGATCATACAGAAAAATTTCACTGTCTTAAAAATCCCCTGTGCTTTATCTGTTCATCTTGTTCCTTCTCCAAATCCCCGGCAATTGCTGATTTTTTACTATTCTATAGTTTTACCTTTTTTAGAAGGTAATATAGTTGGAATCATACACTATGTAGCCTTTTCAGAGTGGCTTCTTTCACTTAGCAATGTGCATTTAAGATTCCTCCATGTATTTTCATGGCTTGATAGCTCATCTTGTTTTATCACTGAATAATATTCCATAGTATGGATATACCACAGTTTATCCATTCAGCTTTTGAGGACCATCTTGGTTGCTTCCAGGTTTTGGTGATTATAAACTGCCATAAACATTCTCATGTGGATTTAAGTGTCAACTCAGGTGTGTAAATACCTAGGATTACAATTGCTGGATTATGTGGTAAAACCATGTTTAGCTTTATAAGAAACTACCAAGTTTTCCTCCAAAGTGAATATCATTTTGAATTCCCACCAGTAATGAATGAGAGTTTTTGTTAATACTCATCCTCATTAGCCATTGGTATTGTCAGTTTTTTGCATTTTAGCCATTATCTAATGTGTGTAGTGGTAGCTCATTGTTGCTTTAATTTTCAATTCTCTAATGACTTATGATGTTGAGCTTCTTTCCATATACTTACTTGCCATCTTCTTGGTGAGGTGTCTGTTCAGATGTCTTGCCCATTTTCTGAGTAGTTTTTTGTTTTCTTATTGATGAGTTTTAACAGTTCTTTGTATATTTTGGATACAAGTCCTTTATGAAATATCTATTTTGCAAATATTTTCTCCCATTCTGTGGGTTGTTTTTTCATTCTCTTAAACAGTGTCTTTCACAGAGAAGCTTTAAATTTTCATAAAGTCCAACATTTCAATTTTTTTGATGGATTGTGCACTTGGTGTTGTATCTAGGTTTTCCAGATCCTCTCCTATGTTATCTTCTAGTAGTTTTATACTATTGAGTGTCACATTTATATCTATGATTGATAGTGAGTTTGTTTTTGTGAAAGGTGTAAAGTCTGTGTTCACATACTTTTTTTTATTTTTGCATGTGGATTTTCAATCACTCCAGCACTATGTCTTGAAAATGTGATATCTCTCCATGCCTTTGGTCCTTTCTCAA